ATCATTTCATCTGGTTTTAGCGCAGGTGTTTTTTCAGCCAGCATAAATAAAATGAGGTATGCCCTAAAATCCTTTATTTAGCAGATTGTGACGGTCTGTTGCTGCAGACACCCAGCATTTAGTAAAGAGTTTATGTTATTTCTGCAGCTTGAATACATACTTGGAAAGGAAGAAAAAGTTTTTTGCCTTTTTAGTTGTTTCATAGGCCAGTGACCTTTGTAAATGACAACAAATCTCTGCTGAATGAAGGATGAGGGAAAAGGGGAAAACATTAAGATATTTTGTCCTACTTTTTTGTGGCATGTTGGAAACAATCACAGTGCCTATTTGTCATGTTCCAGCTTTGTCTCCCTTTTGCAGTAGTCTCTGACAGGCTGAATGAAGAAAATCTAAGTGAAGATGAATTGGCAAAGGTATCACTTCTGGTCTGCCTAATTCTGAAGCAGATGAAAAACATATATAATACCAGGATGTTAAAGTGAAGGAAACATTACCATCAAGGGACTGCAGGGATAAAATAAAAATCCTTTGGGCAATTTTGGCAACAAATGAATAATCTAAATGTGTTTCTCATAATTCAGGATCTTCTGTCTTTGTGCTATTTGTAACATTGCAGTAACAAGCAGGCTGTTCACAATGGAAAGGAGTGAGCAAGGTGAGCAAACATCAAAATAATAGTTCTAAGAATAGAGGAAAATATGAAAAAATTCCCTAATATCAATCTTTATTTGTGCTGATTTTTTTTTTTTTTCCATGGGGGACATGTGTTTCTGTTTTAACTCATTTAAAACCAGATGGAGGAAATACTCACAAGCAAACAACACAGAAAAATCCTTCCTCATCCTATTTAAATAGATGCAATGAATTTCACCACTCTTTCATGCAAGAGTTGTATACCTGAAAATCTAAAAAAGTCTGGTGATCCTGGAGAGTGTGACAAAGTCCATAGAAAGCTGCCCCAGGGCAGTGCACCAACTGCCAGGAGCTCTGTATCCATCCAAATGCCAGTGCCTGGAGGAAACACCCTGGTGAGCCCAGCTTGCCAGCTTCCCTCTTCCCTTCACTACCTAAAGCAAGCATTCAAGGTCTCATAATGATGGTCACCAGGAGTCAGGGGCTAAGGATCATATCCTGACCATATTCTTTCATTCAGAGAGGGAAAAGAGATATCCAGACCTCAGTCCTGTGCGAGAAAATTGCCCAATAAGTTACAGTTTTCACAATGTAAAATCATTGAGCTACCAATGCTGTTTCCTTTGTGCAGTCCAGTGGCAAGAAAGCTACTCAGCCATGCTTGTGCATGCACACAAAAGCTTGCTCTCTCCCTGTCTGTGTAGATTAAAGCTGGAGACACATTATTCCATAAATAACAATACAATCATATATAAACTCTCTGGGCAATTTACTACAGGCAGATTGTGAGCAAGACAAGATAAGAAGTTCATGGAGATGAACTGAAAGACCTTTATGCAAAAATTTGGCCGTCTTCCCCTGAGTTCTGAGGAGAATTTTACTAGTGGCCTGCATCTAAAAATGATTGAAGCTTAGTAAACAAATCAAGTTAAGAGAATCAAATTTCTGGTTTTATTCAAAGCTGGTTTATATTAGGGTTTTCCCATTTAGTTCAGTAAAATAATTCTCCACTGACCGCACTTTGAAACTAGATCCAAAACTTTATCTTCTATAGCTTAAAAGATAAATATCACACCTGAAAATAAATTTAGAGCATTAGAACTACTTGAAATTGTTCAGTAATTATTCTTTCTCCAAAATTGTCCTTTAAAACAATAAAAGAGAAAAATATTTAGAAAAAATCTTAATATTGTTGTTGCTCTTTAAAAAAAATATTGTTTGTGTTCAAGGTTTTCTAATGTTTATTGGAAATATTATGGACCTGTTTTTTTCTTTGCTGACCTGATTTTAGCAAAAAGAAACATCTGGATGTCCGCAGGGATATTTCCAATTCAGCAGTTCAAAAGAAAAAAATGCAGATGCTTGCATTTTGCAAACAAATTGCCAAACTCCCAAAATGGATCTGTTTCACACAGCTTCAAATGTAAATTGCATCAAGTAGTTCAAAATGTATCATGAAACCTCATATTCTTTTTCAGCCACCTGTACAGACTAATTGATGTTACATCATCTGTGCCTTTTTTACAAACTGAATTTCTGCCACAGTCACTGTTATTGTGAATTTTCTGCCTGTTCAGGAGGAGCAGCCACAAAGGGAATTTAGCAAACAGAGGAATGACAGTGTCTTATTGAAATTACTCCCCCACAAAACTGGTATGAGGCAGAGAGTGTGGGAGGCACAGAGAAGATTATCTTCAGGTTGTAGATTGATAGGCACCACATGGCCTGATCCTGTGGGGCAATGTCTGTGACAGTCACTTCATACAGACAGATCTTAATGCACTCTCTGCAATGATTTCTGCAGGCCTGTAACACCAGGGAATGATGTCACGCAATGCTCTGACGCACATTTTATTGAAAGAAGTCTGATTACCTTTTCATGGATGCTGATTAAAATTTTGCTAGTGGTTTAAATGGAAGTAAAAAAAAATATCCGAAGTTAACAAATCACACACAGCTAGAGAAATTTTGGCTTTATTTCTAACAGCTTTAGACATACTGGTGTGTCCCCAGTGAGTTCGGGGAACTATTCTTGATTAATGGCCCAAGAAAATTATCATGGGTGGCAAGTATAATATGAAAGTCAGCATTCTGATAGCTACCCTAGTGGGAACAAAATTTCAATAATGTGATATAGTTATGCTTATTAGGCTTATCATCTATTACAAATGAAAGTCCCTACTGCACTCATTTGATTTCAGGAACCACCAAGACACTGGATGAAAGACAGCAAATGAGTTTCATTTTTCACACTTTTTCTCCAAAGCCACCAATAGTTCATCCATCCTGAGATGACATCCTAACTTGTGTAGGCAAAAGTGTTTTCCAGTGACTAGATCATTCCCAGCCCAGGACACGTCCTTTATCTTTAGCTTCATCTCTTGATTTTTCTGGTGGCAGGTCACTTATTGTTGCTGTGCACTCTGCTGGGTATCTTCCTCTCCTTCTGAAGAATTGTATGGGGTCCTGAGCATCCCTGTCCTTAGTACCCTTCTCTTCTTTTTCTTTTGCCTCATTTCGCTGCATTCTCTCATCTGTAAATAAAATTTCACGTCTCCCCTCTTCACTGGTGATTCTCACACCTTGTCTTCTCTTCTAGACCAGATTTTGGTCTAGGACAAAATTTTAACTTATCTCTGTAGCTGTTCACTAGCAATCTCAATTGTAAAAATAAAATTCCTATTTTTTGTCACCAAGACCTCATAATTATTGTTCCCACTGTTCAGACTAGCATGAGACATCATCTTCAGCACAGCTTATTCTTTGGATTCACACTTTTAGGGAACAAGAATGTCTGATAAGTTGTCATTACTAAGACAGAGCCTTTCCTGTCCATGTAAGCAATTAAAATTTGTCATTCTGGCATCCTTTGTTTGGGGCCTCAACTACTGCAGGTTACTTTTCTCTGGCTTTGAAAAATGTGTGTTTGCCCTGCGGACGGGCATGCAGAATGCAGCTGCAGACAGTATTTTTTATGCTGTGACACTGTCTGTCTTCACTGCTGTGACAGACGCTTGGCTCCCAATTCTCTGCTGTGAAAAGCATTCACTGCGTCTCCTCATTTGTAAAGAGTGCTCAGGCTGGTTCCCAGCGCTCTGCCTTTCAAACATAATTTCATATTGAAATAAAGCTGTCAGTGGTGGCTCAATGAGCTGAGCCACAGCCATAGTACAGACAGAATTTTCCTCTTTCTGCAGCAGAATGGTGCCTGGTTAAGACCCAAACAGTGGGTCATTCAGGTCTCTCCGTGGTCTCTTGCCTACTTCTTTAAGCCCTATGGGAGAAGGAAATTTTGCTCTTATACAGAGTCCTTAACTACGTACTCAAGTACTACCAGTAATAACTTGGAAAAAAAAATTAAAACTTGCTATGTCAGCACAGAAATACTCTTTCTCAAAAGCCCTGCCTAGAAGAGGAGTTGAGGATCACTGTCCAATAAATGTTTAGTTAACACATGGCAACAATTACAGCTTGAAAAATAAGACAAAAGTGAAAAGCTACTTTTTCATCCATCTTAAATTCTTCCACACATAATGAGACAGGTGAAAAATGTTTTACTTGGAGGTAGATGTCGCTTCTGAAAGCTTTTAGTCACTAATTACAGAGAGGCTTTGCTTTGTAGCATACTTAATGTCAATTCTTCAGCAAATTCTGGTTTAAAAAATAGTTGTTATATTAATTGATATGTGATTAAGTTGCCAATTTTTCCTAGGATTTCTGTGCTAAAGTATTTTTCTTGTCATTGTAGACCTATTAATGTTAAAAAACAATTATCTCTAAGGAGGTTGTTTCAAGAAGTTCAGAATGTTTTAACAAGTTAAAATTTGATACATAAAACTATGCTTAAAGATATATATATACACATCACATCAGGCTTGGCACTTCTTCATAACAGGAAAAGCATCCAAGGATTTTTGTCTTGCCTCACAATTGCAGTGATGAACTAATACCTGGGCTATCCTACAAGGTAGATTTTTGTGGTTTTTGATATGTCATGTACACTAATTTTTGTCTGAGGTTGATGAAGAGGGATAAAGGCTCCACCAGAATGCAGCTGAATTTGAGGTGTGTTGGTTGCCATTCTATAATCACTTATTCCAGGGCCTAAAATTGTAGCAGTTAAGCTTGTCTTGAATTGTGTGCCTCAGTTTTTGACTATCTAATAGGAATAAAATTCCCTTTCACTATTGCAGTGGTTTAGGTTGACCAACTTGAGATTCTCAGCCAATGCTCCTATTAATGTAGCAGGTTCAGTGCTGGCCAAATGTCCATGTACCCTCTAGAATGATTTACACATTCCCTTCTGTGAGACAGGATTAGGAGGAAGACAAAGCAGGCTCAAAATTTTAAAAGGGTAAAAGGAAACTTTATTAACAATAACTAAAGGAAAGAACAATAAGAATTAAACTTTTAGTAAGAACACTTCTCCTCCCCCCTGCAATCTTTTCTTTCCCACTAACAACACACAGAAACAATTCAGTCAGTTTTTCACTTGTAGAAGAGACTTTCTTCAGTTCACTTTGGGAGAGGAGTCTCTCTTGTAATGCTATGGAGACTTCTCCACAAGAAAACAGTTCTTTTATAGATTTTAATTTCCACAAATAGCAGCTGCCCAGGAATCTGCAGCTGGAATTGTGAAGTCCCTCCCATCTCTTGCAGCCTTCCCACAGTTGTGTTCATGGGCCAAGTCAACTTATGGGTTACTATTTTAAGGTACCTCATAAGTTGACATGAGCTGTTCTAGAGCAAAGGTTCTCTTTATGTATCTCTGAGATCTTCATCTCTGGGAATAGAGGTCTTCTTCTTTCCCAGGGGGCAAAGGGTCTTCATCACTCTTCTCTCTCTCTGTTCAAATTTCTCATGGGATCACAGCTATGTCAACATCTGCTTGCTTTAGCATAGATGCCTTTGCCCATATCTACAATTTGAAAGCTCCATCTCCCATACCTTTCAATGAGTAAGAGGGAAAAAGAGTCTGATGTATAAATTATATCTACTCCATAGCCTGGCAAGAGGATTTCAGCCCAGGACTGAGGCATCTCCTCAATCCCTTCCATCTGGAACTTGACTTCTTCCTGACCTTCATGTCTCATGTTGTTCTCTCTGTATCTTCACTCTTTCCTTTTCTTTCACTCAAGAAAGAATTGATATTTGTACGTTTCATTAACTAAAAGAGTTAATATCTCGCCCTGCAGATGGTTATGTGATCCAGGCCGGGCGTCTGCCAAAGCAGTCACAATGATGGATCTTCAGGCCGCACTGGGAGGGCTGTGTCAGGATCTCAGGGGGCCCAGACAGAATGGAGGTGCTGGAGACCAGCCCCTGCTTCATTCAATTCCAGCTGCAGGCTGAAAAACTGATGGCTTTCCCTCTGTCTGTCCAGCAGCTGCAAGAGCCAGGTTGGGCCCCTCTAGGCCTCATGGGCAGGCAGCCTGGCAGGGCTTAATGTCAGCAGGATGGTATCAGCCATGGCCCAGCCCTGCCTTGGCTGGGGGCTCCATGGCCTCCCCTTGACCACCAGGCCACCAGGCCAGGAGGCGAGGGGGGAACTTCTCTCTCCAAAGGCTGGAAGTAAGAGAGTTTTTCCCAGAGTTTGTGCATTTTAACATGTGCGTTCACAGAGCCGTGTTCAGCTTTCTAGCGGTTTAACAAAGTGTCAATATTCAAAACTAGTCACTGATTGGTTTTTGTCAGGCACAGAGGAAACTTCTACCAGCTTCTCTTGGAAAATCACTTCCATAACTGGCTTCTTCCCTGCTCACCAAAAAACAATTAATATACAACTAGCACAACTACGTTTTCTATTTAGGTTGCCAGTTATTTGGAGCAATAATTAATTTAACAATGCATAAATGTCATAGCTATAATAGGGCTTATCTTTCAGGTATTTCCCAATACATATTGACGTATGCATTGACTGCACTACATATTGACAAAAGATTAAGAATTCTTTGAAAGGAAGTTATTCTGTGATAACTTAAAAGTCATGTTTAATTTTAAGCAATTTCCTTGAGATGTTTGTCCTCATTGACCTGTTAGTTCTTCTACAGTCTCTTTGTCTGCAAAGAGAGTAAAATAAAATTGAGAGCATTGTTGCTTTTCCCTCTGGCAAATCTGGGCTATATGTTCTAGCTGGCACAGTTGAATTCGACCCTAGCTTCAGTATTTGCCCTAGTTTCTTCTTGGTTACAAAAAAAAAAAAGACTAAGCACTTTAGATTGAGTCTGCCAAAGGGATAATGAAGACTTCTGTTGAGATTGTAGTTTTAGGAATGTTTTTCTTTCTTTCTTTCTTGCTTTTGGAAAATGCCAGAATGAATGAATGAAAACATAAATCTCTTTTCTTCATATAGGAATGAATACTTTTTAAAGTCCATGTTTTTCTGGCGTGTTTTTTCAATCTTGTCTCCTTTTTGAAGCAGGTCTTAATTGAGCATGTAGCTTTTGCAAAACAATTTTTCACGGAAAATATGTTAGGAATCATTAATAGGCTATACGTATAATTCTGTTCTGATTACTCATTTTGTTCTGTGGAAAACCTGAGGATAATTGGGATGCATGAATTTACAATAGAGACTCGCTTAAATCTCCTCACCCTGTGGTTAGCCAGAATTGATCATGGTGAAACAAACAGCAAGGTAAGTTCTTCAGGGTGAGTAGGAAAGGAGGCTAACCTGGTGGACTGAGTGGGTCAGAAAATGAGTTTTTTTCTGCAGGAGCTGAAATTGCATAAATTGTAAGTCCTTGATGAGATCTTTCCCCTCCCAAAATAAGTCATTATCCAGTATAAGATTTTAGAAAAGGTAGAGCAATAATCTGATTAAAAATGGGTAATTCCTGTGGAAGTGAGATGGGAAAATCTCAAAATGGATATGACTATTTCCTGGGGAATACAGTGAAGCTATGCAAAATATTGTTTAGATGTATGATTTCTTTCACATTTTCTTTTCTGCTGAAGAGCAGCAAAAGACTTGTCTGATATTTTTGGCATTGTTAAAATTCCTCAGATCTCCTTGTAATGGAGAGCTGGAAACTTTTTTCTTGTCCTAGAAATGGATTTTTCAAAACTCTCTGGTGGGTCTCGCATCAGTCCATATCTTTGCATGTGCTAATAATAAAGGAGAGGGAAAAAAATAACAAGCTTATATTTTATATGAGGTAATGTTGTCTCTATTCACAGCCCACAAGCTATGATTTCATTCTGCTCTAAAGGGCTTTGCAATGAAGCCATTCTTGAAGGCCACAATACTTAGTTTGCTGTTCCTAGGTCACAGGTTCCAAGGTATTTTGGTGGTCAGGTGAAACTGCAGAATCAGGCTGTTCTGCTGTGCTACCTTTATCACTATAAAACTGTTCTCTAAAGGTGCTTAACAATCTGAGGTATTGATTTAAGCTTCCTGATTAGCAGTCTGATATAAAACACAGGGACTATAAATCTTGTGTAATATTTGAGCAGGAGATAAATACTGAAGCTTCCAGATAAGGACAATTTCCTTTCTGGAGAAAAAGCTACTGTGGTAGAGTAGGCTTTACACATTTAAGAGCGCATTTCCAAAACATTTGTTACAAACTTAAATATATTGTGTTTCATTTTGATCTCAGGAATAAAACTGGGAAAATTAATTTATCAGTCTGAGGTGTTAAGTGAAAATCTGCTCATTTCTTTCAGTAAGCAGCTCTTTGGGCCAATATATATAGTTTTGGCATAAATGATTGCCATTAAAAAGTCATAACTTATCAATAGATATAAAATGTGGATATATCTACAGTGCTTTCCCTAACACTTTCAGAATGCAAAGCAACTGCATTAGCTCAGATGCTGTGAGATAGCAACTACTGGTGAATTTTGATTTTTTTTAATGAGACTCGCTGCAAGTCTTAAATGTCCTCTGTTCTTCCGCAAGTTCATTGAAAGAAAAAAAAAGTAAAAAACAAAAAACACACATAACTAAACCCAAAAAAAACTTACCACTAGTGAAATTTCTAAGGCTATTAATTTCTATTTGATGTTTACTGAGGCATATTCCACTGCTTAGGAGTGTATATAATCTAACAGCATACACTGCTTCAGCAGAATTACAAATAATTCCAGAGAAAGACAATAATTTTGCTCAGAACCTGCCTGTATGAACCCACTACCTACCACCTTTTGACAAATTTAACCCTTCTGTGTTAAGTTTAGCCTAAAGGTAAAACATCAGAAAATTACCTGGATAGCTGAGAGAGCACATTTTAGAAGACTTCCCTTCCTGCTACAGCTCCTGGTGCCGGATAATCCTGGGGTGAAACTCCTTTTCTAAATTTATCTGTGTCCAGGTCACTGGCATTTGCTCTTCCACAAACATTATCGCTTAGCTTTCAATGGCTCTTTCCCCTTCCCTTCAGACAGAAAGGTCTGTCTGACTTTTCTTCTACACCCTTTCAGAAAGGAAAGCTGTGAATTGATGGTTCCAAAAACCAGAAAGAACCCTTTCTCATATGAATTATGGGGCAGTTTCGGACAATAAAAACTAATACAATTAGTAATTCCTGTGGGAAGGTAAGATAGATGTTCTGCTGCCTTGTGTATCACCCTCAAAAAACAAAACAAACACCCCCCTGCCCACAATCCCCAAAGCCATATTACCAGTTTAATTGCAGTTTCAGAATTATGACTGCAGTTAGTTAAGTGTAGATGGAGAGACATCTCAGCTAGATTTTTTTTTTTTTACGTCAAGTTGAGCATGATATTTTGACACCTGGAAAATCAAGTTATGACTTACAAATTGTGCAAATATAATGTGTAAGTAACCTGCAGAGAATAAACAGATAACTAAAACATCATTTTCTTGAGAAATTTTTATGGCCAGGGCCACATTTAAATGCAAAGTAAAGGTTCAGTCCAATGATTAACCCAGGAACAAGATGCTGCTGGTATATTAATTGACCTAATAAAGTATTCTACCTTAGGCAGCCTTTGTCTACATCCATTACATTACAGAGCAGCCAGTCAGTCAGAGTAGTTATAATTCACACACACAAAAACTGTGTTAAGATAATGGATGTGATGTGTCAGCCTACATAAACTGCCAAAAATGGAGCCAAGAATTCCACTCCTGAGTCAACAATACTTTGAAGTGTAGGGGGCAAGATTTAATCACCCCATTCATTCTAGTTTACTTGCATCACAGTGATGAATGCTGCACAGGCAAATGATGCTTCCTCAGTTGATTCATGATGGTAATTAAAGGCCCATAACTTTCCTTTTCAGGAAGTTCTTTTCTATTTGCTGAGTTCTTTTATTATTATTAATTTAAATGTTATTTTCACAAATCCTGTGTCAGACATTTTTCTCAGGACAGGTCACTAGAAAAATACTTAATAAGGTCTTATGATTTTTAGAGTCAGTGCAACCCTTTTTAGGGTTAAGCAAAACCCCAGATCACTTATATTAAGGGTCTCTGAAAATTTTGAAGTCTTCATATGGAATTCATTGATAGGTAAGTGGTGGCCTTTTAACTTTTCTCTCCACCCAGAAGATGACCAGAATATCAGAAGCCAATCAATGAAAGGAGGTGTCAAAATATCCAGTGAGTTACTGGTTCAGTCACTCTATACAACATCAGATAACCATTGGTAGGATAGAATGATTGGGATTCTTTTATTACAGCATGTAAAAGCAGAAAATAATCAGTAATGCAGGGATTAAATTATTTAAGGAATAATCACTTACCCTGAATTTAATGTTACTCTCCAGAACTGCAAAAACTTGGTCAGTTGTTTAATAACCTGACTTTACTGTTGTGGTTTCAAACTGGGCATCTTGACTAAATTAAATAATTTTGAAAACATGATCATCTTTTTTAGAATTTGAATGGTTGCTAGAAAATAATCTCCAATGAGAAAGTACATCCTATGTGTTAAATAATAGCTTTTGGGGTTTGTAACAATTTTTTTCTAAAATAATCAAGAAACTAATACACTAAGCAATTGCCTTTGGAATTTGTGTATTCATACTTTTTAACTGTGTAAAATGGCACTTACCTTTAAATCCAAAAATCTAGTACATACTCAAATTCCCTTTTGTATCTAATGGGACATTTTGATCAATCTATTTTAATTTAAAAATATAGATTGCCTTTGTATTTATATTTCCCATGGCAAAAAAAAAAAAAAGAAAAGAAAAAAAGGAAAAAACCCCAAACAAAACAAAAAAAAGGAAAAAACACACACAAATACACACAAAAACAAACAAACAAAAAAAACCCCTACATCAAGACTTGCCCAATAATGTTTTTATACTTTTATTTTGTCCAGAAACATGGGTACAAGGGAATGAGGCACTTTAGGATTGAGAGCTGAGCTGAATTAATTGCTCCTCTATTTTACTGGGTGAAACATAATTGCACTTACAAGCCATGAATGCTCTTGAAATTTCTTCAGGAAGAAAGTCAGAGAGATGGAAGAAAATGAGGAGCAGTCAGCTTCCTAACAGAGCATCACACTCCCCTGGCCTGAGAGGAGGTCCAGCCCTCTGAATTCAGTTACCTCCCTCATTCCTAGGTCTTCTGATCTTTTTATTTAATATTTGAATTGCACTACCCCAGAGGCACTGGCTGTGTTTTCTGTATAAACTTAAGTAGGCCCTAAATTCATGTGACCGTATTCAAACACAGTATTTGTGTTTGGATTTTGTGGATGAATTCTTCTGTTTGTTTTTTTGGTAAAGCTTATTAAGGAAATTTTTTCCACAAGGTACTTGATAGAATTATAGCACTTTTTGCCATTGCTGGGTTTCTGCCATCATATATCATACTGCAGAGCTCCAAACTTCACAGAGAAAAATAGAGACCATTTATTTAGTTACCTCATAAGACAATTCTGCTTCCATAGGCAGAGGCACCAATCTTAAATTTGCTGACACTAAACTGTGGTTGGTTCTGTTCTAACCCTTTCCTTCCCTTACCAATACTCCTATCATTCTTCTTCCCTGTTTTCCTGGCTCTGTGCTCTCCCCTTTCCACCTCAAGAGCTCATTAGACCTTTTGTGAGCCACTTTGACTCACTGTTGTAACAGAAAA